TTATTTCGGAAATTACCGGAATCGAAAAGTCCCGCAACGTGGCATACATTACGACAGGCTAATGATCGATTTCCGGATTGACTGACGGAAGACCACCTACCTCATTTCCTTTTAGTTGAAAAAAACGGACAGCACCCGGATTACGGCATACATACTCCTGAGACAAGTATTTGCGAATCACGGACTACCAGACGAAATTATATCAGACAGAGATACGAGATTCATGAGCAAGTTTTGGATGACACTTACCGAACGAATGGGGATTGAACAGAAAGCGTCTACGGCGTATCACCCTCAAACTGACGGACAAAGTGAACGAATGAATCAGACTGTGGAACAATATCTGAGATGTTACATCAACCATGAACAGAACAATTGGGTTGAATTACTACCAATGGCACAGCTCGCCTACAACGGAGCTAAGGCAGCCTCGACAGGCATAACACCTTTCTTTGCAAATTACGGAAGAGAACCGGAAACGATAAAAATACCCAGAAAAGCGAAGACTCACGCACGAGAAGCGGAGATATCGGCAGAAAAACTACGATTACTACACGAAAATATGAAAAGAGATTCGGAATTCTTGAGTTACAGGATGAGTAACTACTACGACAAGCAACGCATGGAAGCGCCAACCTTTGAAAGGGGAGAGAAAGTATTCCTACTACGGCGGAATATCAAAACATTGAGACCAAACGACAAACTGGATCATCGAAAAATCGGACCATTCAAGATTTTGGAGAAAACCGGACAAGTTAACTACAAACTCCAACTACCGGAACATATGAAAATACACCCAGTATTTCACGTCTCATTAATCGAAAAAGCACCCCAGAACGCCAAACCATACGAACCAGAAATCCAACAAGAAAACCAAGAACAAGAATACGAAGTGGAAAGAATCCTAGACGAGAAAAGGATTAACGGAAAGATTCACTACTTAGTGAAATGGAAAGGCTACGACGATTCAGAAAACACTTACGAGCCTATGCGGAACCTTCAGAACGCGACTCAGGCGATTGAGAAGTACCACCAGAGGAGAGATTCTCAAGAAGAGCCTCGAGAGAAGGATCACGAGAAGAGGAGGAGCCCAAAACGGCCTCGTCACGCTGAGTAAGACCGGAAACAGCGGACAAGGAAGCCGTCGCTCGCACACGGATTTGCCAATTTTCCTCCATGACAACAGCTAACTCCTGTTGAGCTTTCGACAGCTGAGACTGGAGCTCACGGACCCGATTCAGATGAAAGCGAACATTGGTATCTGAATTCCCCAGACGATATTGACGCCAGAAGTTTTCTTCTTCCCAGCGATTCCACGAAGACAAGCGGCCAACGCAGGCGCAGTTCTTGCGAAGACAAGAGGAACAACTTTTACTGGAAGAATCCATCACAAGGCACGGAGTCGAAGAAAAGAAGCAGCTATCACAAGAGAACTCTGCCAAGGAACCATATTGGTCAATAACAGCGGCAAGACGAGCACGCTCAGGAGCACGGTTACGAGGAGCACGAATGGACTTAGAAGCACGCGCCATGATGAAAGAAAGACTTACTGAACCCAACACAACGGGAAGACACTCACTATTTATGCAAGAGGAAGACTGAGGAAACGATCGGGACGATTCGTTAAGAGAGGAGGGGATGATGTTACAGACCACCTGCGGCGCAACCCCGATAAATACGCTCATTGGACAAACAAGGTTACGGGACGGAAGAACCCAGGAACTCCCCAGGTCACGTGACGACTGGAGAGGTCCCAAATGCCAAGACCATGGACAGGTCCATGATGGGACCTCAGGGAGGAGGTCCAACCTGGGACCTCAGGACAACAGGTCCACATGGGACCTGAGGAACATTCGAAGGATGAGGGACCTGATATAGCACATGTATATAAGGGCACTCATCGCCCACTTGATTTCGAGTTATCTTCTGATACTCAAGATCAAAGCCAACTTCATAGCAAGCCATAGCTTTACAGCACTAGTCAATACACATACACTTCCCTTTGTCTATCTGATATCCCTTGACACCTTTATACCAGACTTGACCAGTGTACCAGCTTCATTGCTTACAAGGACCTCAGAGAGTACATGCACGCTGAGCCAGACTTGGAGCTATCGCCTTGAAGTCGGATACCGGAGTATCCTTCCTACAGTGAACGAGCACCGTTTATACTCCAACCCATCCACAGAGCACCTTGAGTTACACCTTTCCTCGAGACGCCTCCCTTATCCCTATAAGAGAAGCCCACCTTTGTAGCAGTAGGGGTAAGATTTAGCTTATAGGATTGGCGTCCCCAGGCCTCTACTACCTTAAATAGGTCTAGATATTTATAATTTAGTTTCCTAGCAGATCTAATTATTTTTAGATTTTTCCTATTTAGGAGTACCCAATCGCCTATATTAAATTTAATTAGTAGATACTTAGTATTATAGTACTTCTTTTAATCCTCTTTAGCTTTTTCTAGCTAAGTTTGGAGCAATTAACGAATTTTATTAAGTAACTTTACATATTCTACTACCTTAATAACTTTAGGAGCTCTAGGGGTCTCTATATTAATTCGTAACTCTAGCTAGTAGCCTATTAGAGCTATTACCGGTACTATTCTAATTAAGATATAGTAGGATTAGTTATAGATAAACTACACTAAAGGCAGCTAACTAGCCCAGTTATCCTATTAGAAATTAGTAAAGTAACGTAGATAGTGCTCTAAGGTCTAATTTTAGCACTCTGTTTGCCTATCTATTTATAAATAGTAGGCTATAGAAAGCCATTTTTTTACCCCTAAGTAGAAGCAAAGAGCTAACTAGAATTTATAAGTAAAAAGAGTACCCCTATCGGATACTAGATTAGTAGGC